ATTATTAAGAGATACAGATCAAACAGCGAGATACTGCGCACCATAAACTACACTATTTGCATTCATTCTTATTTTTAGCACACATACACATGCACATACACATATACATCCATTCATACATACATATATACATATATATATAAACTTAACGACCTTTAATAATGATAATGATATAACTATTCGTTTCTTTAAATTAGATGTATATAACTATGTATAAGAATAAATTAGATAATTTATAAATATGATGGATTTCATTTGGATGGGGGCGTAACAAATAACATAACGTCGTAAGATTAATTTATTAATGATAACTGTAACCACAGTCCCTCTCTATATGAGTTTTCAACCAAACGTCAACATTTGGGAAATTTTTACCGCAATGCTTACATTTACCAGGGACTATCGATCTATTTGCCTTTTTAGTTCCTGGTGGATATTCAAAATGCAAAGCTTTCAAATGATTCTTGTAAGTATCACAACGTGAAAATACACCAGTTGCATGACAATTCGAACTTTCAAACTTTAATGGTGTACCCTTCTTATGAGGGTAGATATCCATATCCAGTTTGATCAAGGTGGAATTATAAGGACATTTAAAGGTTCCCTTGATATTATGTAATGATTTTAATTGATTATATTTTTTATCCGTTAGATCTAAAGATCCTGATTCTGTAGATGATGATGATGATGATGATGATGACGATGATAATGATGATGATTCTTCAGCAGAAGATTGGAATTCATCTCTCCAATGACGTTTCTTATGTCTTATTAAATCATTATTTCTTGCAAAACCATGATTACAAATTGGACATTTATGGGGTCTGTTTTCAGGAGTGAGATGTGTTGAATTATGAGTTGATAAGTTTGCATAAAAATTATGGCAAATTGGGCATTCTTTCTTCTTTCTTTGTTTCTTGACTTTTTTATTTGTAGCGGCAATCGTTGAAACACCATTGATGCTTGATGAAGCAGACATTGCTAAGTTTAAACTACTAGTAGAGTTACTTGATGAACTTGATATGCTATTTACTCTACTTGAACTGAAAGTACTTTCATCATCGTCTTCATGGGAAGATTCTGGTGGTGAATGTTGTAATAATAAAGGAGGTTGGATTGGACCTGGTAATGTCGGTAATGACTTTGATCTTTGTACTATTGAACTAGCTATAAAGCCATTGCTGTTATTTCCATTAACATTTTGAATACCACTATTATATTCAGCAGCTCTTACCAAATTATCAAATGAGGATATTGGTGGTAAAGTGATTTTATTAAAAGAATTGTTTGGAGTGCGAATTGGAGTGATTGGTACTACTGGAGTGGCCTTTGGAGAGGAAGAAGTTGTTGAATTAAGTAAATTTGCACCAGGAAGGGATACTGACGCAGACGACAACAATGGTTTTGGTTGAGGTATCAATAATTTTGGATCTTGTTGATTCAATTCATAAAATTGTGGTCCCATCGGTAAAGTATGATGTTGATTACTCGAGACCATTAGCATTTTTTCATATCCTAGATATAATGAATCGGGCTAATAATCAAATTTATATGCAAACGGTCTGAAGTATCAGTGGTCAGATAAGGAAGACTCAAAGACAGAATGGAACGACTTTGAATTGAAATATTCCAAAATATATGTAAGAGGACATATTTTAAAGAGTTCAGCCAAGCTTACCATGTTATATATATATAAATGTATGTATGTATGTATGTATATATGATGATGGTAATAATAATGGATATATAATAAGATGGGATGTGGTAGTGGGTACATAGCAGATGAGTGAAATAGGTTTAACGAAATATAATAGCGGAGTAATCTGCAGAGATTCTAGGAAATATAAGAATAACCGAGCAGGCGAGGGTTTATCCGTTACAAAACAGAACCAGAGAGAAAGTTGTAATAGCAATTCCAGCTACATTAATCTTAACATTTTTATTTTTATTTTTTGCCATACCAGTGGGAGTAGGTGTAACAAACAGTTGGGAATAGTACGGAAGGAACTGAGTATGTCATACTAATGATCTAAAGGGAAAATATACAAAGAGAGAGAGCGAGAGAGATAGAGAGATATTAAATTTCCAATGCTGGAAGAAGATTTATAATATCAACAAAACTTCCAGTACAGTGGAGATTACAGAGAGGGCTGCGACCTAGCCCGACTTGATATAAGTGGATAGGATACAATTTACATACCTACATGCCTACATAACAAGATATTTTGATTGCAGCCTGCTATAGAAGAGAACATTACTTAACAAACAGTATATCAAAAACAAAAATTGCAGCAATGAATGAATCGTTAGAGAATTCGAAAGTTGTTAAGTTTAGTTTAGTTTAGTTTGTGTGTAATTGTCGAGGATTCTGACAAATCAGCCGGGCTCAGGAGAGGTGGGAGCAGAGACGTCTATCTAACAAGACCCTGCGCGGGATATTTGTTCTGTTCTTGGTGGGTTCGAAAACAGACACAGTCTCAGACACACACAAAAAAAACAAAAAAAAGAAAAAAAAGAAAAAAACACAAAACACAAAAACACAAAAACACAAAAACACAAAAACACAAAAAAAAAAAAAAAAGGTTATTATAGAATTTTTGTGCAACATAACATCATTCATTCATCGATGGGCTTAAAACCACAAAAACTGTAATAACCCGAATATGGTGGGTTTTTCTTTTGTGATAGGCAGAGAGAGAGGCGGCGGCAGATTCGTGCGATCGAAGCGATCCATTAAGAGAAACGGAGTAGGGATCTGTAAGAACAAAGCGAAGAGAGCTCGGTTGCTTGTGATTTGATTAATCGAGATTGATTGATTGATTGATTGATTTCAGACGATGGGCGTTTCTGCCGTGCAGGGTGCTTTGGAACCAAAGGACAAAGACTAGCGTTCTCACAAGTTCGCTTCTTGCGTTGTACTTTGTCCGTAGGAAAGTTTACGTGGGTGTTTCTGAGCCTGCCATTGTATATATACAAAAAACGCTGAATAATTATGCGTGTCTTGAGGAAAATATATGTGTTAATACATGGAAAAGACTATAACTATGGCATAATGATACTAATAACAACAACAAAAAGCTGGAGAACTATACATCTAGAGGGCACACTGAAAAACAAAAAGGGGGGGGGCAATACAAGACAAAAGAACACAACAATACAAAAACTAATTTACGTAGTTACGTATATTACGAGCAGGCGGTGAACCGCCTCCTGCAGCGGACTCCCAGCCGGGAAAAGTAATCCAGTCGTACGTAATTTGTGGATTCTGGTTTGTAGGGTATGCGGTTTGTCTGTTTCGCTCCCAAAAGAGTTGTCTTGTTTCAATGGAAGCCGTTCGGCGCAGCCCAGCCAAATACCAAGCGGACACAGGATGGCTGCAACTAGAGTGTGCGGTATGGTATGTTCTTTACTTGCGGTTGTTATTGAAAATTCATCGTGAACACAAAAACAAGAAAAAAAAATCAAGCAAAGACGAAATGGTTGCCTGCACATCTGGACGTTGTACGTAATGTCGTCTCCATGTGTTTCATTTCATGCAATTCACCAATTACTAGATCAATAATTATACTTTTCTCAATTTCAAGTTTGTTTCCCCCTTTGGTTCTCTTAGGTGTGTTTTATTATCCGCTCCCTGTGTCCGGGTACTTGCCCCTCGATGGCTGCATTATTCTTCTTCTTCTGTTTTCCAAGACAAGAACAAGGATTGTTCATACAGCAGCAAGTCTCTGTGTGTATGTCTCTGTATCAGTTCTTTAAGAACTCCGCGTACATCCCTGCAGTGACGTTTTTGTAATGTTATGGTTTCGGGCATCAGCCCTAACAGGACGATGTTTCTGAAATTGGAACATAATTAACTCGGATGTGGATGGGAAATTCCAGGACATACGTAATAGGATAACTGTTTTCGAGGTTGAATGTAGGGGGAAGAAGAAGAAGCATAGCAGAGCATAGTGCTAGTCTTCGTTGAACAAACCCATAGAATTCTTTCTTAACAAAAATATCAATAAGCTACAATTTCGTATTTCTTATGGTAAATTTCAGTATTAACGTTCCAATCTAATATCCTTTTTGAAAAAAGTCTAGATAATATTATCCACAGCGCTCACTCTCTTTGGGTAGGATGCTTTTTACAAATAAAGATTAATTGTGTATACATTTTCCTTTAATGTCCTTTCATATAAACCCCTTCCCCTTCCCCGTCCCCCACCCCCGTCGTTACAATGTCTTGCCTCATCTTGTTGGTTCCTAGACTGTTTTTGAAACTTCACTCCCCACAATTCGTATTTAAAACACATTGGTTGTATATTATCTCAATCGTTCAACCGTTAGTTTTGTTTTGATTTGTTTTGTTTTGTTTTCTTGAGACAAATGGAGTGAAATAAACAAAATTAGGCTAAATGATATCGACAGTTTGAAACACTTCCCATCGGTGTGAAAAATTGCTCTCGTTTTAGGTAATTCAACACATTGAATTTAGATCCGCTCAATTGCAAAAGCTTTACTTTGTAAAATGCAATCTCAGTTGACATCTCTGTTATGTGTGTTTATTTTTTAAACTATAAATCTTTTGTAAATAAGAGAATACTAGACAATTGGTTCAAAATAGACCCAATGACCATTTAATGTATTATCGTAATGGTCATTGGGTCACCATCGACCTTGCTTGCTCAACACAATAAATTAAACTCATGAATCAACCTCCTATGATTCATGTCAGGTGACCTGTTCTCGCCTGAATCATCTATAAGCATTCTCTTGATCATCCTACAAAAGAAACATCACAGTTACCCGGTTAAACTAAAATTCTTACAATAATTTATATTTTTGAATCATTGATCTATGACTACTCATCCATTTCGTGTCTAATGATCATCCTTCTTTATCGATTTCGAAAATTTGTTTTTCTTTTTGGGAAAGCCGCATATTTGTCACAAATGGACGCAGAACGTTATCGCAAGATAGAACCAATATCAATAAAATATTTTAACATCAAGATTAATAATTAATACTCAGTTCTGTTAATTAACTGCAAAAAAAAATGATTCATCGAGACATGATTAGATATATCTGATGTGGCATATCCAAATTCATATATAATCATCCACATATATATATATATATATATCAAGATACTCCTGCTGTTGAAGAAATTGTTGGGAAATTGAGTCTTCACTGTGTTTGCAGTGCCTTTCTGTAATGCATGACCATCCTGTTGTTTTAAATATCTAATAAGAAGTAAAGCTGTTGGTTTGTGTGTCATCCATTAATATTTTGCTAAAAATTTTAACAAGCATTGAATACTTTTAGGTCTTTTTGGAATTTAAGTTTTGAAATTTAAAAGCATATTTAAACCATCCATCTAACCAACTAATTTCAAAATTCCCAATTTCAGTTTCAATTGCTATCTTCACTTCTTATAATTATTATATTATATTATCCTATAATACATTCCTATACAATATATCAGTAACAGACATAGTTCGAATACGATATAATGTCATCAAAAACTACAGGATGGAAAAAATATTTCCCACATCTAAGGGTATTGCCAGAAGAAGCGATATTGAAATCTTTAGCAGAGGCAAGAGACTCTACTTCTGATCAAGATCTATCCATCATTCATGATGAGGTAGACCAAAAACCCAAAGATGAAGCTCGTATCTCTTCAAGCACTTACAAATCTTCAGGTTATATCAAGGAGCATGCGCAAGAGGTTTCCATCGACTTGAAAAAGGGTGTTCCCTATGAATTAAGAGATGAGGCTGGTAGGTCTCGATGGAAATTTTTCGATGAGTTTGAATATAGGGTTAATAAGCATTACAGAAGTACAAGGAAGTGGTATCAATTTTTATATCCAAATCATGACAGATCTAGTAAGGCTGAAAAAAGGTTGTTGTATAAATTAGATCTAGTCTTGGGTTTATACTTCCTATTGCTGTGTTGGTCAAAAACTGTCGATGCTTCAAATTATACCAATGCTTATGTCTCTGGTATGAAAGAAGATTTGAATATGAAAGGTAACGATTTTATCACGACATCCACTATCGCTAACGTTGGGTCCATTGTATTCCAATTGCCATTCATGTATCTATTACCAAGATTCCCTGCCCATTTAATCTTACCTATAATGGATTTGGGTTGGACTTGGTTTACTTTTGCTTGTTACAGAGCTCATTCTCTGGCTGAATTGCGAGCATATAGATTTATTCTAAATGCATTTGGTGCTGCTTACTACCCTGTATCTCAGTATATTCTAGGTTGTTGGTACGCACCTGATGAAATTAGTTCAAGAGTATGCCTCTTCTTTTGCGGCCAACTTCTGGGTTCAGTTACTTCAGGTCTTTTACAAAGCAGAATTTATAGAGATCTAAATGGTGTCAACGGTCTTGCCGGTTGGAGATGGATGTTCTTGATTAATGCTATCGCCATATCTTTGCCAACTGCAATCATTGGTTTCTTTGTCATTCCTGGTGTCCCTTCAAGATGTTACTCTCTCTTTTTAACTGACGAAGAAATTAGAATTGCAAGGGAGCGTAATAGAAGAAATAATATTACTGATGCTATTCCAAAGGCTCAATTGAAGAAAATGTGGGATTGGAGAATCTGGAAAAAAGTATTTTTGACTTCTACTTTTTGGATTCTCGTTGTGTTTGATTTAACTTCATGGAACAATTTTGGATCTACTGGGGGTGCTTATACATTATGGTTGAAGTCCAATCCAAATTATTCAATCCCCAAGGTTAATCAATTGAGTGTTCTGCCTCCAGCTTTAGGTTTGGGTTTTGTGATCTTCTGTTCATTCGGTGCTGATCTCTTTAGATGCAAATGGATCTTTATGGTTTTTGCCGCAATTATGAATTGTATTTCATGTGGTATCCTAATTACGTGGAACGTTAGTAATAGTGCAAAATGGTATGCATTTTTAACCACTTATTTCAGTGTTGCTGCATCACCTTGTTTATGGTCCTTTATTAATGATTTTTTAAGGTTCGATCCCCAAGTCAAAGCTGTTACTTGGATTGCTATTTACTCTATTTCCCAGTCGACTAATGCATGGATTCCAATCTTAGTTTGGCCAACAGTTGATTCTCCAAGATTTAAGAAAGGTTATGTTTCAAGTGTTATCTTTGGTGGTATATATGGTTTGTGGACATTTGTAGTTTTGTATTTCTACAAGAGGAATGAGAAAAGACACTCATTGGATAACGGTATTATCATCTACGATAGTAGTAAAGGTGAGGAACCACCTTCATATGTTGAAACCAACATGATTCAAGAAGATGGTTATTACTATGTTAAGAATGAGTAAGAGATATTACTCATTGTGTAAATTACAATTAGGATTATGTGTGTATAATATACTATTATCGACAATTATGTATAGAATAAATAATTATAAACTTTCATTAATTTATCAAGCCTATTTTTGATAATTCGTCTTTGAGAGTTCCTTTTGACTCATATTTATGTAACTCAGATTCGGTACCCCAAGCTTTGCCATTAACAAAGATAGTTGGTAGGTTTCTAATCTTGGAAACAGATTCAAAAGCATCCCTCCATTGGGCTTGTTCATCTTTGGAAAGGTTACCAATATCAAAGACATGAACTTTGTCAGATACACCAAATTTTGACCATACTGAATTTGCATAAACGCAATCAGGACACCAATTTGCAGAAAACTGAACAAATTGATGAGAATTTATAATTTCTTTTGCCTTAGTATTGTAATCAGACATAATTGTAGGTGTCGTAGATGTTAAATTATCAAAAAAAATGAAAATGTTTAATAAAAGATGGTATGAAATTTCACCTTTTTTTATTTAACTTAGTTTGAACTGATTAAAATGGCTCCTTTTACATTTTTGAAAATTAGGAATTGATTGAATAATGAAATCATAAAATCGCTTAGTTGCGCTGAAATTTTTCAAATTATTATACAAAGATATAAATATAAAACTAGATATTAAAAAAGATACTTAGAGAGATATTTGAGAGAAGGTGACCAATATAGTTATGCAATGCAAAATGAACTTAAAAAAAATAAAATAATTATCCTATTTTTTTTTATTATCTTTTTGCTTTTCTAATTCTCTTCTAGTACCTTTTAATAATTCAAGATGACCAACTTTACTTGATATTAATCTTTCAGTAGCAACAGTCAAGGAGGCTGTTTTGTTCAATTTTTTCAAATGTTGTAGATTCTTCTTTTTAGATTTAATTTGTATTGGAGCAGCTTTACGTAGATTTTTTTGTTTCTTAGTGACTCTACGTGGGTCTTTACTCTTCTTGGTTACTTTCAAAGCTTTTTGAGGCATGGTTATCTTAACTTAGAGTTTTATTAAAAAACAGGAAACAATTTTGAATTCTATGGATGAAATGTTACAAATTAAAATGTATAAATATTTTATACATATGAACACAGATATGCACTAATACATGTGTAAGTGCAAGGTTCTAGATACAAATATACTAAGATATTAACGTTAAAGGTCATCTCATCGAATAATTTTTTGATATCAAAATCAAATTTTTTTCAAAATACAAAAAAAGTAACACAAATCACGTGGTATCACCGGGTAAAACCAAAACAAAGACAAAAGAACGTTCACGTGCTCACAAAGTTTTAGTCCAATATTAACTATGTTCGTCATGGGCGGTTAATATTCTGTTTAGAGTGAAAGTACTTTTACCTATTTCCCCGTCGAACATGACACCTGTAGAATTTAAAGATTGGATTTTCAATTGGTTTTTGTGTCTCATAAACCACAAAAACGGAGAGAAAGTGGATCGAAGCAAATGTTGTTCTTTCAAACTTTTCTAATTCAGAAGGCTTTATAAAGAACAAGACGATTTTATTTTGGACGTATTCCTTTTTCCAAACTATGGTATCTCAACAATGATAAGTACTGTTGAGACGATTAGAAACACAGGTAATGACAATACTGTGGCTGGATATATTGAAGATTCTAAACTGTGTGTAATAACAGAATGCAAAAGAACCTATGATGAAGGTGGATGTCCCCTGATCAGGAATTAGATAAATTCCATTTCACATATCAGTTTGAATATTTTTGGCTCGAATCAAATGTAGACTAAAGAGAAAGAGATATCCTTCATTTGATATAACTGTAATTATCCCAATTTGCCCCCTCCTCTGGGTGGAAAAAATATTTAACCGCCGAAACAAGTGTACTTTTCATTTCAAATTACAACAATCCAAGTATCGTTATTAACGAAATATATTTGTGTGTGTTATGTTTTGGTTTTTTTTTATGTTCTTTCTTTTTTATGGTTACTTTACTTCACTTTACTATGGCCTGATCATTCCCGTTTCATTTTTACTCTCATCTAACTATCTCTAGAGAACTACTGTGGGAACAGACTTTATCTTCAAGACATCTCGGTAATATGTGATTAATTAAAATGGCATTAAATTTAATCTATTGTTAATTTTTTATTATTTTTTTTTTGTTCTGGTCTTACTTTGGCTCCGTCGGGCAATCCTTCGTAGAAGGGCTATTGCGATGGCTGTTATACAACAGAGTCAGAGTTAATCTAGGTAATCATTTTGATTTCAGTAACTAATTTAATTTTTGAAAATAAAATTGATATTATAATTTGAAATTACTTGACTTTGAATCTATATTAATATTAATTAATTCATTATCAATTTTTAACCGGTATCATTGGCATCACAGGAGTTAAATTAATTAATTCGTTTGCATATATAAACTTGGTCTATTTCGTCTGTTGCGCATCCTAAAACCAATTGACTTATATTTCATTTTACTTTTTTACTTTTTACCTTAAATCAGGAATTAACTTACTATTATTCAGCAACTCTTTAAAACCAAATAAAGACATATTATAGCATACCACAGCATATCATAACCTATAAATTAATCAGAATCAGTCAAACAATACGTACCATTGTTAAATATGTCTGTTCAAGTTTATCCAGGTCCACAAGCTCTATCTCAATTTAGAGTTGAAAACTTGATCAAAGGTATTAATTCTTTTGTTAACAGCACAAACTCAGTCATCGAAGATATTCGTACATGCTACGTGCATTACATCGATTCTAAAGTGGCCCAATTGGACGCCAAAGATACAGATTTACTGAAAGTTTTGCTAACCTATGATTCTCCCCTAGATATCTCAATTGACCCTTTAAATAAACTTTTATGGGATTCAATTGTTGAAAATGTAGATGGCGATAATCTACCAAAAGACACTTATTTAGTGAGAATCGTACCAAGATCAGGTACTATTTCTCCATGGTCATCTAAAGCTACTAATATTATACACGTTTGCGGATTAACTGATAAAATCAATCGTGTTGAAAGAGGTTTGGCTTTATTGATAAAAACAATCCCAGGTTTTTCACTGTTAGAATACTTAAATGATATTTCTCTAAAAGCAGTTTTTGATAGAATGACACAAGAATTATACTTAAATTCAGTACCTTCTGTTCAAAAAATTTTTACTCACGAATCCCCTAAACCGTTGGTCAAAGTACCACTATGTACCGGTGCATCTAGCTCCAAATCGCCAAAGGATATTTTGAGCAAAGCAAATACTACTTTAGGTCTAGCACTAGATAAAGGTGAAATAGATTATTTAATCAATGCCTTTGTTGAAGTATTAAAAAGAGACCCAACCGATGTCGAATTGTTCATGTTTGCTCAGGTAAACTCTGAACATTGTCGTCATAAAATCTTTAATGCTGATTGGACTATTGATGGTTTAAAAAAGAACCTATCCTTATTTAAGATGATCAGAAATACTCATGAAAAGAATCCGGAATATATTATAAGTGCATATTCTGATAATGCCGCGGTTGTTGAAACTGGTAACAATGCTTACTATTATGCTCCTGACTTTAGAACAAAAGAATGGGTTTCACTAAAAGAAGAAGTACCAACTTTAATTAAAGTTGAAACACATAATCATCCAACAGCTGTTTCTCCTTTCCCTGGTGCTGCTACTGGTTCAGGTGGTGAAATTAGAGACGAAGGTGCAACTGGTAGAGGCTCTAAATCCAAGTGTGGTTTAAGCGGGTTTTCTGTAAGTGACTTATTAATCCCAGAATACAGCCAACCATGGGAATTAGATGTTTCCAAACCTTCGCACATTGCTTCAGCTTTGGATATTATGATCGAAGCTCCATTGGGTTCTGCTGCTTTCAACAATGAATTTGGTAGACCATGTATCAATGGTTATTTCCGTACTTTAACTACTAATGTTATCAATCATAAAGGTAAGGAAGAAATTCGTGGCTTTCACAAACCTATTATGTTAGCTGGTGGTTTTGGTACTGTTAGGCCTCAGTTCTCATTAAAAAATAAACCGATTACTCCCGGTTCTTCATTAATTGTTTTAGGTGGTCAATCTATGTTGATCGGTTTAGGTGGTGGTGCTGCTTCATCTATTGCTTCTGGTGAAGGTTCCGCTGAACTAGATTTTGCTTCCGTCCAAAGAGGTAATCCTGAAATGGAACGTCGTTGCCAACAAGTTATCGATTCTTGTATTTCTTTAGATGCCAAGAACCCAATCCAATCTATTCATGATGTCGGTGCTGGTGGTTTATCGAATGCTCTACCAGAATTAGTTCATGATAACGACCTTGGTGCGATATTTGATATCAGAAAGGTTTTATCCTTGGAACCAGGTATGTCACCAATGGAAATTTGGTGTAATGAATCTCAAGAACGTTACGTTTTAGGTGTTTCAAAAGAGGATCTGCATGTGTTTGAAGAAATTTGTAGAAGGGAAAGGGCTCCATTTGCTGTTGTTGGTTATGCCACCTCAGAACAAAGATTGGTTGTCGAAGATCCATTACTAAAGTCCACACCAATTGATTTGGAACTTCCAATATTATTTGGTAAACCACCAAAGATGTCTAGAACTGCAGTTACCGAACCTTTGAACTTACCAAGTGCCGATCTATCAGTCATTCCAACCTTATATGATGCAATTGATAGAGTTTTAAGTTTACCATCTGTTGCTTCTAAATCATTCTTAATTACAATTGGTGATAGATCTGTTACTGGTTTAATTGATAGAGATCAATTTGTCGGACCATGGCAAGTTCCAGTCGCAGATGTAGGTGTCACAGCTACCTCATTCGGTCCATCTATTATTTCCACTGGTGATGCTCTTGCGATGGGTGAGAGGCCTAGTGTTGCATTAATTTCAGCTGCCGCATCTGCAAAAATATCTGTCGCTGAATCATTGCTGAACCTTTTTGCTGCCGATGTTAAGTCATTACAACATGTTAAGTTATCTGCTAATTGGATGTCTCCTGCTTCACATGAAGGTGAGGGTGCCAAGCTATATGAAGCTGTTCAAGCCATTGGTATGGATTTATGTCCAGATTTAGGTATTTCTATTCCTGTCGGTAAAGATTCTATGTCCATGAAAATGAAATGGGATGACAAAGAAGTTACAGCACCACTATCTCTAAATATTACAGCATTTTCTCCTGTATCTAATACTTCCAGAACTTGGACTCCATTATTGAACAGAAAGTATTCTAACACAGTATTGGTTCATGTTGATTTAGCTGCCTCTCAAGAAGAAAGAGCATTGGGTGGTTCTGCTCTATTACAAGTTTACAACCAAGTTGGTGATATTGCTCCTACCGTGTACGATAACCATAAATTGAAGGGATTCCTTGAGGCTTTAATTGAATTGCACCAAAGTGATATTGTTCTATCATACCATGATATCTCGGATGGTGGTTTAATTGTTACTTTATTGGAAATGGCATTCGCGTCAAGATGTGGGTTATCAATTAATGTTGATAACAGTAAAGGTGGCGATTTATTAACCTCTTTGTTCCACGAAGAACTTGGTGCAGTTTTCCAAATTGTAGATAACAGATCAGATGAATTTACATCCATTTTGGATAAACATGGTGTTACTGCAGAATATATTTCAGTTATTGGTAAACCAGAATTTTCTTCCAATTTGATCAAGATTACGGACTCTAATAATGATGTATTATACGAAAATACTAGAGCCAACTTACAAGTTAAATGGAGTTCTACATCCTACCATATGCAAAGACTAAGGGATAATCCAAGCACTGCAGATGAAGAATTTTCTAATATTGCTGACGACCAAGATCCAGGTATTAGCTATTCTTTGAGCTATGATTTAGCTGAAGACTTAAGAATCGATTCGCAATTAGCTCCTATAAAACCAAAGGTTGCTATTTTGAGAGAACAAGGTGTAAATGGTCAAATGGAAATGGCATGGTGTTTCCAGCAAGCTGGTTTCACTTCTATTGACGTTACCATGTCTGACTTAATTGAAGGAAGATTTAACCTATCTGAGTTTGTTGGTTTAGCTGCTTGTGGTGGTTTCTCATATGGTGATGTTTTAGGTGCTGGTGCTGGTTGGGCTAAATCTGTTTTATACCATGAAGGTGTACGCAAGCAATTTGTTAACTTTTTCCAAGAGAGAGAAGATACATTTGCATTTGGTGCTTGTAATGGTTGTCAATTCTTATCTAGATTAAAAGATATCATTCCAGGTTGTGAAGATTGGCCAAGTTTTGAAAGAAACGTTAGTGAACAATACGAAGCTCGTGTTTGTATGGTTGAAATTGTTCAAGATGAAGGTTGTAAAGAAAATAATGTTTTCTTACAAGATATGATCGGTTCAAAGATTCCAATTGCCGTTGCCCATGGTGAAGGTAATGCAACCTTTAGTTCGCCAGATCAACTAGAAAGATTTGAACAAAAGGGTTTATGTGGTATAAGATACATTGATAACTACGGTAAGACTACTACCAAATTTCCATTCAATCCAAATGGTTCTGTTAACGGTATTTCTGGTATTAAATCTCCAAATGGTAGAGTTTTGGCTATGATGCCACATCCTGAAAGAGTGTGTAGATTAGAAGCCAACTCATGGTATGAACCAGAGGTGTTTAATGAATGGCAAGGTTATGGCCCATGGATTAAGTTGTTTAGATCTGCAAGAAAATGGGTTGGTTAAAATTGACAAATCATGCAAAATAAGGAACCATTTATATACGTTTTATAAACACTCGATTATAAAATAATAGGATATTTGATATATAAATTTAAAAAAAAAATACATTACATTTTTTAATCTGTTGTTATATCCTTGAATGAATTTTAGAAGACAAGAAATAAATTAAATGCTTGGATGAAGAAAAGTCATTAAAATTATTTTTTATTAGTTTCAGATATCGATTAGTGGGAAACCAGATCTATAGGCCTTATCTTCAGGGGGGGATGGGTTAGATGACACTTCACTTTATTTTGACATATTCTGTGTAATGTTATTGACTATATCGTCTCTTGAACGCTTGAATGGTCAAAAGTATTGATAAAATTAGTTGGGAAATTTTTTTATCAAGGCTATATTAACTGGTTATAATCCATTTTTTGCTAACAGATATGGAAGTATCTCTCTCCTGTATGACTTGGGACTGTCATGTGGGGTCTGGATCGCATTATCGTTTGCTCACGTGAATATCAGATGATATTCCAGAATTTCAGTATAATCTGACATACTGGTTTAATCCATTGATACCCTATTTGAATAATTTAATTTAAATCCTGTCAACTACTAATTCACAGTTTGTAAAGTTCAAGTTCTCGATATTCAAGAAGTAGAATAAGTGCACAATGGACATTTAATATTTTACTCTTTCAAAATTCCTTAGTTCAGGTTTATTCCTAATGGATTCGTTAAAACTTCAAGTTCTATGCCAATTAGGAAAACAGGGTTTCCGAATTAAGATTTTAAATAATACACCAAATATGAGCTATAATTCTAGATAAGATATTGTATCATATGGTGAACTTTACAATGTTTTAAATGTAGATTATTCTTTCATTAGTTAGTAGTATGTCTTCATAAGAGCTCATCTCAAATTAAATCACCTTATACGTATATATCTCTAATATATGTTGAAATAATTAGAATATTAAAACCCATCTCGATGACCAAGAATTGTACAACAATGATGGTTTAAAAGACAGATCAAGCAGTTTAATAACGTCATAGAGCAGCTTTGTGATACTAATACCTGTATATTGTGTATTTGCGTGTTATTGTGCCTTTTTACTGGTTTTCCTCGTTGGCATTAACTACAAGAATCACATTTATATATATTGTTCCAGTTTGGCAATTTAAGTTTTACAGATGAATGGTTCTACTGATAATGCACTATTCCAGCCAAACAGAGATACCTATGTGAATCACTCAGGTTCTGACGACACTAGTTTTAATGATTCCCAAGATGATGAATTTGATTATAATTCAGACGATGACTTGGCTGGTAAAGAAATTGATAATAATCATTTAGATAAAAAGGCTGCAATTCCAAATGAACATAATCTACATGCAGAAATTGTAGCTCCAGTATCTGAACACTCGTGTGCTTATTGTGGTATAGATTCTCCTACTTCTGTTATAAAATGTAATAGTTGTAAAAAATGGTTTTGTAATTCAAAAAATGGTGCTACTAGTTCTCATATCGTTAATCACCTGGTTTTATCTCATCATAATGTTGTTTCTTTACATCCAGATTCGGACCTAGGTGATACAATTTTAGAATGTTACAATTGTGGTTGTAAGAATGTTTTCTTATTGGGATTTGTCTCGGCAAAGAGTGAGGCAGTTGTGGTATTACTATGTAGAGTTCCATGTGCTCAAACCAAAAATGTAAATTGGGACACTGACCAGTGGCAACCAATTATTGATAACAGACAATTTTTACCTTGGGTTGCTGAAGAGCCAGGTGATGAGGAAAAATTAACTGCAAGATTGATCACACCAAGTCAAATCTCAAAGTTGGAAGCTAAATGGAGATCTAATAAAGATGCTACAATTAATGACATTGATGCTCCAGAAACTCAAGAAGAAATCCCACCTATTTTATTAAGATACCAAGATGCATTTGAATACCAAAGATCATTTGGTCCTCTAATCAAACTAGAAGCTGATTACGACAAACAACTGAAAGAATCACAAGCATTAGAGCATATTTCAGTTACTTGGTCCTTAGCTCTGAATAATAGACATCTAGCCTCCTTCGCATTATCTACTTTTGAATCTAATGAATTGAAAGTAGCTGTTGGTGATGAAATGATTTTAAGGTATTCAGGGTTACAACATCCAGAATGGGAAGGTAGAGGTTATATTGTTAGATTACCAAACAGTTTTAAAGATGAATTCACATTGGAGTTAAAACCAAGCAAGATTCCAGCGCCAACTCAATTGGGAACGGGGTTCACTGCAGAATTTATCTGGAAAGGTACGTCTTATGACAGAATGCAAGATGCACTAAAGAAATTTGCCATTGATAAGAAATCCATCTCAGGTTACCTATATTATAAAATATTGGGCCATGAAGTTCATGATATTGAGTTTGATGTTCCAATCCCAACTGAATTATCAATTCCTCATTTTGCAAGATTAAATGCTTCTCAAGCAAGTGCAGTTGCGCATGTATTGCAAAAACCATTATCTTTGATTCAAGGTCCGCCAGGTACTGGTAAAACTGTTACGTCAGCTACAATTGTATATCATTTATCAAAATCCCATAAAGACAGAATCTTAGTCTGTGCTCCATCTAATGTAGCAGTTGACCATTTAGCTAGCAAATTACGCGATTTGGGTTTAAAAGTTGTTAGATTAACGGCAAAAAGTAGAGAAGATGTTGAAAGTTCTGTATCTGATTTGGCTTTGCATAATTTAGTTGCTAGATCATCTAAAGGAGAATTGAAGAAACTTTTGAAATTAAAAGAAGAAGTCGGTGAACTATCTGCAACAGATGCAAAGAAATTTGTTAGGTTAGTGAGAAAGGCTGAATCTGAAATCTTAAAGAAAGCAGATGTAGTTTGTTGTACATGTGTGGGTGCTGGTGACAAGAGACTGGATGCTAAGTTCAGAACTGTTTTAATTGATGAAAGTACACAGGCTTCAGAACCAGAGTGTTTAATTCCTATTGTAAAAGGTGCTAAGCAAATTATTTTGGTTGGTGACCATCAGCAATTAGGTCCAGTTATTTTGGAGAGAAAAGCAGGTGATGCAGGATTGAAGCAATCACTTTTCGAAAGATTGATTTTATTGGGTCATGTTCCAATCCGTTTAGAAGTTCAATACCGTATGAACCCATTTTTAAGTGAATTTCCAAGTAATATGTTCTATGAAGGTAGTTTACAAAATGGTGTTACAATTGAGCAGCGTACCATCCCAGGAAGTACCTTTCCTTGGCCAATTCATGAAGTTCCAATGATGTTTTGGGCCAATTATGGTAGAGAAGAAATTTCTGCTAATGGTACATCTTTCTTAAATAGAATAGAAGCAATGAATTGTGAACGTATTATCACCAGGTTATTCAAAGATGGTGTCAAACCCCACCAAATTGGTGTTATTACCCCATATGAAGGTCAAAGGGCTTACATATTACAGTATATGCAAATGAATGGTTCCTTAGACAAGGAATTGTATGTCAATGTTGAAGTTGCCTCTGTTGATGCTTTCCAAGGCCGTGAAAAGGACTACATTATCTTATCATGTGTACGTGCTAATGAACAACAAGCTATTGGTTTCTTAAGTGATCCTCGTCGTTTAAATGTTGGTTTGACCCGTGCTAAATATGGGTTAGTAATATTAGGTAATCCTAGATCATTGTCTAGGAATGTTTTATGGAATCATCTATTGATCCACTTTAGAGAAAAGGGTTGTTTGGTGGAAGGTCCATTGAATAACTTGCAGTTATGTACAGTACAATTGACAAGATCTCATCCTAACAAACGTAATAACCAAAGCAGATTTCAGTTCAGCTTGAATGGTGAAGTTGGTGAAATTCCTAATATTCAAGATTTTGATACACAAAGTTTAATGTCATTTGGTGGTCATGCTAATGCAAATACAATGTTTAATAATAATTTTGCAGCTAGTAGTGAATTGTCATCCTTCTTGAATAATGAATATTGGAATACAGAAAAGTTCAAGACACAGGCAAACAAAGAGCAAAATGAATCAACAATGGGAAACGCATTTGATGAAAGAGGATACTCCAATTTTGATTCCAGTTTGGCAAGAAATTTACAAGCCAATAATGGAACAACTTCAAAATACTATAATGTCGATCTAAACGATTTGAATAATGGTATCTCTTCCTTGGGTATATAAAACTACAAAATTTTAAAGTTATAGTGCTTATGTATATATATATATATTAATAAATAAAAAAAATAAAATAAAAATGGTGGTTTCATATACATTGTCATGATTGCAAACAATATATTTGAAAATATGCAAATGATTGATATTCTTTTGATATTAACTATTTAAAATATTCAAAAGCCTACCATCGATATGAAAGTGGAGTTCGATTTCCTAAATTAATAAAAATTTAATTTTTGTCCCTACCTTTATTGTCCTTTCTAAACCATCTGCTAATTCTTTTTTGGACTTCCATCAGTAGAAGCATCTGTTGGAGTACCTAATAGCATTTTTGAAATTCTTGTGGACCTTAATCTTGAAATTCCGTTTGGAGCTATGAGGAGCTTCCTTTAGGCTTCGATTTAATTTCAATATTTTCTTTAGGAGGTTCAGATATAGTCTAGCAATTTTGAAGGCACATCATGCGAAGGAAATAATTTATGAACTGAATTAGAATCCTTATATACTCCATAGTTATCGATAAATATTTCCTTTGAATCAGAATAATAGAGCGAATTCAGCCAATTTAGTCATATAATCTGTTTCCTTTAAAATATTGAAATCTGGATTTTCGAAATCGCTGAATAACAGAGGTTAAATGTTCAATCTTCAGATAAGCCAAACCACATTCCTGTTATAGATGTTTCATAAGCTGCGAGGTTTCGTGTGAACTGTTCATAATTTCTTTTGGGTGATTCCACAGTTAATGGAGTATCCTTGTTCATGTACTTTATCATGGTCTTCTTCAGACAAGTATATCACAAATTCTGCAGTCAGAATTAGTAAAAGTGCTA